GACCAGGGAGGTCACCAAGAAGAGGAAGAGATTCGTTCGAACGCACGCCCACCGGCCGTTGGTGTCCCATGGACCCAGCCAGTGGAACTCACCCCCGAGATAGTAGAGGCCGCCGCACGCTACTTAGCGGCCCTACATCATGGCCAGGCTGCAAGGGCAGGATCCCCAGAACCCTCCCGAATAAACAATACCACCCAAATCGCCGGCGACCAACTGCCCAACACGAACTTGCCCCCTGAAAGAACACAGAGATCGGCTCCACCCCAGGGACCCCGTCGCGCAATCTCCGTCCTTCACCGCTTAGGGCCCCTGAACCAACGGGAAACCGCTCCACAGCCTGAACTCGGAAACCCCCCGGTAGAAAGCCCGCAACAAAGAGTCAGACTCAACCCCCAGCGACGGGTGGAGGTCACCCAGGCAACCGGTTTTCACACGGGAGGGGCAAGGGAAGGGGATCCCGATCGAAGAAGAATTCTGCAAGACATGATGGAGGGTAGCGGAGAGACTCCAAAACTTGGTCAGGGGAACCGAGATCAAGAGATGGCAGAACTCGCCGGGGAGGTGAGAGACCTCCAAAGGAAGGTCGAGGGTAGGGGAGATCGACCAACCGCTCGATCTCTATTATCTGCTAGTCCATTCTCTATGAAAATCCAAGAATATCGCGCGCCAAGAGACTTCAAGTGTCCAACAATGCCTACTTACGATGGAACGGGGGACCCCAGCGATCACTTAGTTGGCTTCCAGGCAAAGATGATGGTAATAGGGGCTGAGGACCCCATGTACTGTCGCGCCTTTTTCTCAACCTTGGGCGGGGCAGCGCAGCGTTGGTTCCTATCCCTAACACCAGGGTCCATCGATCGCTTCGAAACCCTAGCCGAACAATTCCTAACCTACTTCGCAGGAAGCATGAAAACAAAGAAGCACTTCATGACCCTGACTGCCATACAACAAGGAGAAACTGAGACACTAAAAGATTTCCTAAAAAGATGGCAGAAGAAAGTACAGGTTGTAGAAGACCTGGACGACTGAACGGCCCTCACTTTATTCGTTACTACAGTGAGGGGATCTGTTCACTAGTCTATGAAGGGAGACCTCCGACACATATGCACAGTCCATCCAGAGGGCCAACAAATACGCGGAAACAGAAGAAGCTTTGCAACAAAAAATAAGGCGAGAAGCGAAACGACCCCGTGACGAGACGAGAACTCGTCCTTCGGACCGACCGTCTAAACGGGAAGAAATATCTAACGTCATCCGGGGGCCACCTCCCCCTCGACACAGAGCAGTACCCACCCTCGGGGCATGGCACGTGCACGAGGTCCAACCACCCCGACCTACTGAGAACTTACCGCCACCACCCACAAATGCGGAGGAACGACCGACCGATATCACAGGTCCACAGGACATTCTACCGAAGAATGTACTACCCTAAAAAAAGAAATCGAGGAGCTTATCCAGAAAAGACAATCGACTACTCGCCCCAACCAATGGCGAAAACTTCCATGGGCACCAGCCCGGAACCCTCCCGACGAACATAGGGATAGGCCCCAACAGAAAGCACCCAACCAACAAGAGGGGAATCCAGAAGAGCAAGACGATCGAAACTGGAAACACAAGCGTGTGATCCACATGATTTGTGGCGGGCCTGCGGCTGGAGACAGCTCTCGCGAGAGGAAACGTTGGGCTAGACAATTATATGTAGGCGCAGTGCAACATAGACCCCCCATCAAGAAAGGTCGGAGGGACATCATCACCTTCTCTGATGAAGACCTACTGGACGGCCCAACACAACACCGCGATGCCCTTGTCATCACCTCGGACATCAACGGGACCACCGTCCTGAGAGTATTTGTAGACACTGGCAGCAGTGTCAATGTCATGTACCTCGAGACATTTAACAAGCTGGGACTGTCCCGAGAACAACTACACCTAGTGCGGACGCCACTTGCTGGGTTCACCGGAGATAGCGTAGAGGCTGAGGGGTGCCTCACCTTGCCCGTGGAAATAGGAGAATACCCAAGGGTCCGTTCCCTAGACATGGAGTTCGTGGTTGTTAACATCAATTCCGCGCACAACGTAATTCTAGGGCGTCCGGGTTTAGAGGACCTGGGGGCTGTGGTGTCGCTCGAGCATCTGTGCTTAAAATTCCGAACACCCGAAGGAGTGGGGATCGCTAAATGCGATCGCCATGTGGCCCGGTCATGCTACCTCCTCTCTTGCCGAAAAATTGGGAAACGCAACCTGCAGGTCCAAACTATCACCGAGAAAACCAAAGGAGAGGAGATTAAGGAAAGGCCGGAACCCGCAACCGATTTAGAAGAAGTAGCTTTCGATGACTCCAGACCAGATAGAACGATCAAGATAGGCAAATGATTAACAGAAGAGGTCTGCCAAAGTATCTTACAGACACTGAAAGAGTACAAAATCCTATTCGCTTGGGGACCCGAAGACATGCCCGGAATTGACCGGTCGGTCATCACCCACCGCTTATCTGTCAATCCGGCCACTCGACCAGTCATGGAACGGAAGAGGCACCTAGCGGCACACCGAAGAGAATTCGTAAAAAAAGAAGTTTCCACCCTACTAGAGATCGGACACCTCAGGGAAGTCACCTATCCCGCTTGGGTGGCTAACGTTGTGCTAGTACCCAAGCCCCCAGCATGGAGAATGTGTGTCGATTATACTGACCGCAACAAAGCGTGTCCTAAGGACCCCTTCCCCTTACCACGAATAGACCAACTCGTAGATCAAACTGCCAGTTGCGCACTACTTAGCTTCATGGACGCCTTTCGGGGCTACCACCAAATATTTATGGAAGAGCATGACGAAGAAAAAACGGCATTCCTGACACCTGATGGAGTCTATTGCTATAAGGTGATGCCGTTCGGCCTGAAAAATGCGGGAGCAACATTTACATGGATGGTCTCCAAAATATTTCACAGCTTGCTTGGGAAAAGCATGGAGGCTTATGTCGACGACCTGTTGGTAAAAAGCAAAGAAGCCCCCGAGCACTGTCGAGACCTTAGAGCATGCTTCCAACTCATGGAAAGATACAAACTGAGATTGAATCCAAAGAAATGTGCATTCGCTGTCCGTGGGGGAAAATTCCTAGGATACATGGTCACACAGAGAGGGATAGAACCAAACCCCGAGAAAATAAAAGTCATACTGGATATGCAACCGCCCACCAACCTACTGGAAATCCAAAAACTAACGGGACGACTGGCAGCCCTTAGCCGTTTCCTCTCCAAATCGGCAGAGCGCTCTCTACCATTCTTCGAAGTGATCAAAAGAAGAGAGGGGTTCGAATGGACCCCTGAATGTCAAGCATCATTCGAGGAGTTAAAGAAATATCTGTTATCCCCACCCCTACTAGCCAAACCAAAAGAAGGTGAAACCTTATACCTTTACATGGCGGTATCGGAGCAGGCAGTGAGCTCCGTCTTGGTGCGGGAAGAAGAGAAGCTACAGCATCCAATATATTATATCAGCAAATTACTAAGAGGGGCAGAAACCAGATATACACCCCTGGAGAAGATGGTCTACTCCCTGATCACCACAGTACGGAAGTTAGTCCCATACTTCCAAGCCCACCCCGTAGAGGTGCTCACAGACCAACCACTCGCCGGTATCCTGAGGAACCCCACCTCCTCCGGTCGAATGGCGAAATGGGCTATGGAGTTGACCCAATATGGGATTGAGTACAAACCCCGACCCTCCATCAAGGCACAGGCCTTGGCCGATTTCATCGTGGAATGTACAGCAAGAGACCAAAGGGGGAGGACAAGTGATTTCAACCAGAATACCTGGTGGGAAATGAGTGCAGACGGAGCAGCCAACACCAAACACTGTGGAGGGGGAATCATGCTAACCTCACCAGAAGGGTTCAAAGTATACTATGCCCTAGAATACCAGTTCAAAGCATCGAACAACGAGGCAGAATATGAAGCAGTGATCAGAGGCATACGGCTTGCGACCGCCCTTGGAGCACGTAACCTTCGCATTCGAATAGACTCACGACTCGTTCTAGGACAAATCAAAGGCACCTTCGAGACTAGAGGGGAAAACTTGAGGATATACAAGGATTTTACTGAAGGAAAATTGAACGCTTACGAAATACAACACGTGCCCCGCAAGGAAAACATGGAAGCTGACCTACTCTCGAAGATCTCACTGGGAGGTACCCCATGACACTTAGCTCACATATGCAAGAGAGAGGTCATCCACGCACCCAGTACAGAATCTCTCTTGATCGCAATGGTAGCCCTGTAGGCATCCAATCTCCGGATAACTGGATAGGAGATCTAACCAGATACATCACGAATGCAGAACTTCCGTCTGATCCTGTACAAGCTGCAAAAGTCAAGCGAAGGGCCCAAGCCTACCAATTGGTAGACAACCAGCTGTACAAAAGATCCTTCGGAGGACCCCTACTAAAATGCCTCCCACCAAGCGAAGCTAAGCAAGTAATCGAGGAAGCCCACAGCGCGATATGTGCAGCTCACCAGGGAGCGAATACCCTGGCCAGAAAATTACTGGTCCAAGGATATTACTGGCCCAGCATGACACAAGATTGCATCCAAAGGATTCAAAGTTTCCATACTTGTCAAAAGTTTGCAGAAAAGCAAAACCGACCGGTCACCTTCTACACACCGGTCACCACAGCCATACCCTTCGCTAAGTGGGGTGTAGACCTCCTAGGACCGCTACCCCAAGCTCCAGGGCGCCACAAGTTCTGCATAGTCGCCATTGACTACTTCACTAAGTGGATCGAAGCCGAACCATTGGTAACCATCACCGAATACCAGTGTCGCAAATTCCTGTGGAAGAAGGTGATCTACCGTTTTGGCCTGCCTGAGCATCTCATCACTGATAATGGCCGACAGTTCGATTGCAAGGACTTTGCAGAATTCTGTGAAAATTATTATATCAAGCACACCAAGGTATCGGTGGCTTACCCCTAGGCAAATGGAAAAGTAGAAAACGCGAACAGAACAATCATGGATGGACTAAAGAAACGAATAGAAGAAGAAGGTGGTGCATGGGTGGACCAACTCGACCACATCCTGTGGGCTCATCGAACCACACCGCGACGGGGAACCGGGGAAACCCCATTCAGCCTCACGTATGGGTTCGAGGCCAAGGTCCCTATCGAAGTCCTATGCCCCACGAGTAGGGTGCAACAATATGAGGATCCGGTTAATGAGCAGCTACTGCAACTAGAAAAGAATTTCCTCGAAGAGCGGAGAGACGCACCTCAGCACCGAATGACGGAATATCAACGAGCTGTGAAAAGATACCACGATGCACACGTAGAGCCTAGGTACTTTGACATAGGGGACATAGTACTAACAGATAGACAAGCCGCCCTACCAAATCAAGGCGGGAAAATAGCCAAGAACTGGGAGGGCCCCTACAGAGACTCGACAATCATCAGACCAGGCACCTACAAGTTGGAAACTATGGAAGGCAAGCTGATTGAGCGCATTTGGAATTCAAATCGCCTCAAAAGGTTTTACCAGTAGCCCGCATGAGAATTTCATAACAAATATCCTCATATACTATTTACCTTTATTAGTTTCGTAATAAAATATCTTTATTTCGGATTACACATCTCATGATTCGCAAAAACATAACACGTTACAACATCTCAAAGACGCTAGGTCGTAGTTAGCCCCACAAGGGGCTAACAAACTCACACCCTATCCAAACCAACCTGAACCTCCCCAGAACTCTTACGGTCGATCACCCCGGCTAGTCACCCCAACGGGTCATTTCGACAAATCAATAGCCAATTCATCTTACCACAAATCGGCGATTCACCCAACGCTCGATGGACAAGTATACAACAAGGTCACGCATGAAGCAATAATCAGTTCACGGTGAAACAAAATGAATGGGGCTACTGGGATAAAGAGCCCTACAATATCAGGTGGTGGAGAATCTAATAGTGGGGAGTTAAGGGTGAAGGACTTAGTGTAGTATATAGAGGCTATAGGAGAATAATCTGGGCGTCATAGGACATAAAGCTGAGTCTAGAAGTCATTAGAGTATTAAACAGCGTCAGTAAAAAGCAGTCAAATAGAGTACATACTGACAGAGAACGGGAGACGTTCTCAATAGCCATTGGTGGAACGGTATACTGGCAGAGAACGGGAGACGTTCTCAAAAGCCAATGGTGGAATGGCATAATAATAAAGAACGGGAGACGTTCTCCAAAGCCATCAGTGGAATGGCATAACAACAAAGAACGGGAGATGTTCTCAATAGCTTTTTGACGGATGGGCACACTGGCAGAGATCGGGAGACGTTCTCAATAGCCACTGGTGGATGGGCATACTGCCAGAGAACGGGAGACGTTCTTAATAAACCTTTGGTGGAACATCATACTGACAGAGAACGGAAGATGCTCTCGAAAGTTGAGCAGGGTGGCCAAAAAGTTGATGAGTTAAAACTAAAATCAGCATATACAGAACAGAGCGACCAATGCACCAACTATCCGGTGTACATAAACAAAATAAAGCGACCAAGGCACCAACTATCCGGTGTACATGCAAAATAAACCAAACAGAGCGACCGAGGCACCAACTATCCGGTGTACAGACAAAATAGAGCGACCAAGCCACCAACTATCCGGCGTACAGAAAAAATAGAGCGACTAAAGCACCAACTATCCGGCGTACAGACAAAAAACACAAAATAAAAGGACCAAATCATCAACTACCCGGCGTATGAGCAAAAGTAACAAGGCAAGCTGGAATGTCGAAGTCGCCACAACCGCCAAAAGTAGGCCACATGTACCCTAAGGAGCGGAAACATAACCTGGGTTATCCCCCTGCCTAGCCTCGCCTGGGTCCAACTCCCCAAAGGAAACGCCAACGAATCCCTGAAGGTTGGCAGATGAAGTAAGGAAACCGGGATCCAAAGGGTTCTCTCCTCCTCCGCCCGCACTCAGCAATGGCTCGAATCCAGGAGGAGGCACAACAGGGGCAACACCCATCGGCACAGAAGGCTCCTCGTTCAAATGACGATCAACCCAGGGATGGTAAGGAGGTGGGAAACCCAAGTCTACCGGCTTAAAATGGGGATTAGCAGACTTCATAATACCATAGATATCCTCCTGCATATGTCGCATCCCCTCATAATAGTCTTCCGACGTCATGACACTAGTATACTGAACACCTGCGGGAGTAGATAGCCACTCTTTGCTGATTATCGCCAAATCCTCAGGAGTCTGACGAATCGCCTCCAAAGCATCCTGCCTAAAAAGCTCCGAATCACGATAATCCTCTACGGCGGAACGAAGCAACTCCTCGGCAGCCTGCTGCGCCCGTAGAGCCGCAGCCCTGGCCGCCAAGCTAAGTTCCACCTCGCGCACCTGACCCTGGTAACGGGAAGAAAGATCAGTCAGCTGGGCACACAACTCATCTACTCGGGCGCGGAGATCCCCTGCCTCCGAGGAACACGCTCGATAACGCTCGAAGGTCTCCATGCCAACCGAAGCAGCCTAGTCACAGGAAAAATACCCAGCAAGTTAGAAAGAAGAGCATAATAAAATAAAGCCTAACAACCAAAGGAAGGCTATGACAATTATGAACGCACCCGATAAAGCTGAGCAATCAACCATTTGTGAAGATCGTCAATCCTAAGAGACTTCAGAGCCTGCCGATCGAGAGGGAAGATAACACCATTTCCCCACTCTACGGGATTAAAGTTAAGCCGTTTGCCACTCATGGTGGAATCCTCCCAACCATCCACAGTCAGGGTCAGAGGTCGCGACTCCGACTCCGGTTGCGCTTGCCCACTCTGGTCGGGCTCCTCCCGAGCCCTCTTCCGCAAAACTCGTCGACGAACCTGCCCCCCATCTGACGGGGCCATCGCGACCTCAGAGGAACCAAAACCGAGCCCCGCGCCAACATCATTAACTGGGGAAGAAGTGAATAAACCTGAAGACCCTCCCCCCCCCCTCGGGTCTTTTACCCTTATCCGGAGAATTTGCTGCCGAAGGGTACGGGGAAGTAGGAGGCTGAACGGTTTGTGACCGAGTCTGGCTACGAAGCTGCGCACGAATAAGTTCCGCACGGGTGGCCATCACTGTATCCAGTCGGCGAGTCAATGGAATAGGAAGATTGTCCGCCTTTGAATCCGACCCCACGCCAGGGCTAGCTGGAAAATAGAGAAATAGTCAGCAAGGCGGATGATATATAAAAAAATAATAATAATAATAAATAATAATAATAATAATAATAATAATAATAATAATAATAATAAACAGAGTTTGAATACAAACCAAAGATACGGAAAGCCCGAATGTGCCGGGCTAACACACCAGTTGGCGCAGGCGGACGGTCTAACTTGAAATAAGAGGAAGGACAAGATGTGGAGAAGTCAAAGGTACCTTCAGCAAGGCGAACAAAAACAAAACTCTCCTTCCAGTGTTTGACGGACTGCGTAGTACCCTTGAAAAAACGCAAGCCGTCACGCTGGGAGAACTGGATAGAACCCGGTGATCAGGACCCCACTGCAGCAACATGAAAGAGCTGCATGAAAAGAGCAAGAGTAGGAGGAACATCGAGATGATGACACCGCACGAAAAAACCCACTAAAAATCTAAAAGACCTAGGAGTCAACTGACCGGGAACCAAACAGAAGTATCTGCAGATCTCGTTAATCAGTGGGTGAGGGGGAATACGAAATCCATATACAACTGCCGTAAAAGATAAGCCCACATAACCACCCTCGGGAGGATCATGAATGAACCACGACCTATCTAAAACTACATCAACTGAAGGACCCAGTAGCACACGGATATACTCGTAATATGCAGAATCCAGCACAGATGTACGAGAGGTGAGATGACCAATACCCTCAAAATTACCCGATCCTCTCACCAAGGGAGAAAGCGAAGGGGAATAAGGGAAATAAATGCCTGAGGATCGACCTATCTGCAAAGGTGGAGGAACAAGAGCCCGACGGATAGAAGGAGAAGGGGAGTAGGAAGACAACAATATAGGACTAGACTCGAGCTTGCCAAGCAACGAACTAGGCGCCGCAGACGGCCC